TGCTTTCAGCAGCTTCTCATTTAAAATAATAGGTAAACAAGTGAAATTTGACACCTGTAAAGCAACACTGTCTTTTGTGTTTACAGTGTTGTACAAAGGCACACCCTGGGCACAACAGCTACTTAAGATGAAGTTGTCTCACAGGTTTGACAGACAAACCATCCATTTGAAATCACTCAAGTGTCATACTATCTTGTCAACTGGTTAATGCTTCCTTGTCCACAATATCTTGTTACATAGAATGACTCACTCTGGCTTTGTATAGATGTATCAGTGCATGATTCGCCACTTGCAGATCGAGCCTGTTATTATGCAGTATTAGTCATGCTCATGTCTTAATATGTGCAGGGGAAGTTTGACGGGAAATGATCCAGATTCACATTAAATCTTATAAGCTCAATCATTCCCATCTTAGAATAGTACACACTTAAAAATGTCAGAAGTTAAGAAAATGGTTCTGCATAGAAACATGAACACTCAATGCATAATCAAAGGGTTCTTACACTGTGAAGGGGTTCTTCAGATTGATGGAGAAAGTGCTGTAGATGGTTGTTTATAGAACCTTTTCGAAAAGGGTTCTATATAGCGCCAGAAAGAGTTCTTCTATTGCTTCAATGTCAAGCCTATAACAAAAGAAGAACCCTTTTTGGTGCTATATAGAACCCTTTTTGAAAAGGTTCTATATACAACCATCTGCAGCACATTATCCACCAATCTGAAGAACCCTTTCACCTCTTTCATTTCCCTTAATCATGCAAACGGTTCTTTGAGTGTTTATGGTTCTATATAGATCCCTTGAAGAACCACCATTTGTAAGTGTATAGGAAGCTGAAAGAAGCCTTTTTGGTGCTATATAGAACCCTTTTCGAAAAGCTTCTGTATACAGCATCTACAGCACTTCCTCCATCAATCTGAAGAACATTTCAGTGTAAAGAACTGTAGTCCATCTGTTTCTTCAGTCTTCATGGACCCTCAGAGAGCGGTGGATGGTGGATCATTCTCAGCACTGCAGTGACACTGACGTGGTGGTGGTGGTGTATTAGTGTGTGTTGTGCTGGTACAAGTGGATCAGACACAGCAGTGCTGCTAGAGTTTTTAAACACTGTGTCCACTTACTGTCCACTCTAATAGACATTCCTACCTTGTCAGTCCACCTTGTAGATGTGAAGTCAGAGATGATAGCTTATTTGCTGCTGCACAGTTTGTGTCGGTCATTCTCTAGTCCTTCATCAGTGGTCACAGGACGCTGCCAACAGGATGCTATATACTAGTCATAATGAATGGCCATATCACCCACTAACACAGTTATTAAAATTCAGTATAACGGTATTTTCCAGACTAATCACTGTAGACAATATTTAAAGGAGCATTCCAGCCTAGAATTTAATATTATTTGTTGACTTATGTAATACTCTGTAGTGCAGCTTTATGTTCTTTAGCCTCTTCAGTTTAACAGAATTCATTTGTAAATTCATTTTCAAGATTTCATTCACCAGTTAATGAAAAAATAAAAATCAAAACAGCCCCCCAATTATCCATCCTAGTTTTTCAAACATTCCTCCCACCTTCAAGATGCATCATCAGAAGGGAGTTTTCTAGTCTATAAATGGGAAAATCTCACTCTAGAGACACTGCAGCACTGCTGTAGGAGGCGAGTAGGCAGGTTTACGACAGATGTAGCAATGAGAATTTTTTGAAAAAGAATTTGGCTACAGTGTCCCTTCAAGTTTGAGCAATAAAAATGCTTTACTGCTTTCTTGCAAAAACTGTCACACATCTTGGTTTATTGGGGGGGAAAAAAGTTGTTTGACCTATTTCCGTCTCTGATTTCATGTTTGAGGACACTGTTTATTTTCTTTTATTACTTTATTGTTTATTAGTATTTCTTATCTGAACTGTCTCATGAGAGATGATGTTTCGCTGCCATATTGAGCTGTTTGAGCTCTTTTCTTGTAGAAAGGATATCAGCTTTTCTGTTCATCCCTGTATAAGAGCTGAAATGTGGCAGCATTCCTTTTATAGCGCTCTCTTCTCCTCCTCAGTGCAGCTCTTCCTTCCCACCATGCTGTTTGTGCTTGTTTTTTCTTTTTTCTGTCACATCACACTAGACTTATGCATAAATTAGCTATTTTACAGGAAAAAACATTCCCAGTAGGTTTTTGCAACATTTTATGCACAATATACACAATAATAACATATACAATATGGATATAAATATTAAAGATTCACCAAAAAGTATTTTAAATGTTTTATTTAACATTAAGTTGTTAAATGACAGTATTATGTAATTTTCTGTTTGATGTTTACCTGCCTTCAAATGTGATCTTCACTCTTGAAATATGATAATTTCTTTATATTATTTTAACTTAAAATTTAATTTAACCTTCACTCTCAATATTCTACATCTGTCTGACATTCTACAGCTCTGTTCGACATTCTGGACTTACCTAACCTTTTTTTTTAATTTACAGCTTCTTAGTGTCGACCTGATTATCTGAAATGTGCAGCTGCACTGGACACTTTTTTAACACATTTGTCTGCCTCCACATTAGTGTTATATTATTGCAAACACTGATTTATAAGCTTTCACATGCCAGTGTTATTCCTTAATGGTTTGAGTTTTCTGAGTTTGTTTACAGTGTTAATGTATTTGCCACTAGAGGGCAGCAGAGTATTGATAGAAATCACTGGGTCACTCCTGTCTGTTGTTTTTAGCTTCCACTTCATTTATAAAGTTTGTTTAGGAGAGTTTAAGTAGCGTCAGCAACTTTAGGAAAATGAGTCTTTTTAAATATCTGAGATTCTTTCACAGCTGACACACAATGTGTTCTGCATTTTTGCTACTACTGATCATTCAGCCCGGCTGTTACATTTGTCTAACATCTTTAATGCTTTACATACTTACACAGTTTAGTTTATGGCTTTTTTACTGTGTCCTTGGAACATTGATGTGCCTTGTGTGTGTGTGTGCGCGCATGTGTGTATATGTGTGTGTATAATATGTAGAATAATATCAGCAGATTTACTGCTGATGCCAAATTGATTTATACACGACTGATATTTCATAACAATAGTCAGTGATATGTTTAGGTGACGCCAGGTCGCTGTGCTAGAATATCTGCATTTTATTTGTTTTACACTGCATTAGTGATCCTACAGGGATGTTATATTTCTCTGTAACGCAAATCCAGGTAGATTTAGTTCCAGTTTCTATATGTTAATGAGATGAAACAAAGCCACACTAGTGATGTCAGGACCTTCTCATTTAAAACGATATGTAAATGAGAAATTTGTCACCTGTGTTTACTATAAGTGACCAGATGTCCCTGTCAAACTCTGTAATAAACATTGTGAAGTACAGTCTTATGCAAAAGTTTGAACACTCCAGTTTTGTTTTGTTTTTGTTTTTTTTTTTTTTAAATAAGTTATGTCCTCTACAGAGGGCACACTTAAATATGGTAAAACTTTAGGTTTCCAAATTTAGTCTGCAAACTTTAGTCCCTAATTTCTGTTTATTTGGAGGAGAAAAAACAAAGCATAACATATAAATGTGCCATGACTTTTGCACAGGCCACATGTTATGTATTATTTTTTGTCCAATATGTTAAATTAACAGTAATTGTATATTAAAATGACTGAGCTGAATCTGACTGAAAGGTGTTTCCAGAGGTGGGTGATAGGCCGAACTGTGATATCACGATACTTCAGGAAGTTTTTAATTACATATGATGTCACAATATTTATTTTAGCAGACAAAGTGCCACATTTTAAAAATACTGTGGAACTACGAATACAATGATTTATATGCACAATTTCACACACTGTGCTGCATAGAGATGGGCGATATAGCCAAAATATAATACAGTGATATGTGAGACATTTTTACAATATGTATGTCACAATATTTTTACAGACATCTGATTGGCTGGAATAAAGGAAAAAGAAACAGTAGTGCTATGTTTTAAAAAGACTATCAATAACTCAGTGAATTCAGTGATTCTTATGCAATATTTGGCACTAAATCCAGTTAAAAGGAACTCATTTTGCTCTCTTTTTATAATAAAACATGCAGTTGGTCAGTGTCTACAAGTACTGACAATATACATTATGTTCAGAAAAACATACTGTATTGTGACAATTTATGATTGTGATAATTTATCACTATAATGATATATATTGTCATATTGCCCAGCCCCAGAGCTCCACCAAGTTTTCAAAATTAAAGTAATTAAATGATTAAGATGTAAACATAGTCATTCAGAGTGGTTTGGTGTGAAATGTTCTGTTCTAGAGAAACTTACAGAGAATTGTTCACAGTGGTGGTGATAGGAACCAGACGTCCACCTCTAAAAGCTCCCTCACAGAAAATGATTAAATGAAATGGTTTCTGCACTGCATGATGTCTGAGACAGTTTTATGATAGTTTGTAATAAAATTTTTGCTTAAAATATATTTCAATCAAGTACTGGTGGAGAGGTACCTACAGGATGGTGTGAGTCCCCAAAGAAGAATTTTACAGATTTGGCCGTTTTACCATCACCAACATCACATATAAGAACTCAGAGGACTCGGGTAGGTTCGCTGGTGGTTTTGGATAGTAAATAAAATGTCTATATTTGTGTTGTAGACATGGTGACCCCTGGTTCCTATCACCACCACTGTGAAGAAGAGTCTCTATTATAAACCGTTTCACACCAAACCACTCTGAATGACTTTGATTTTGTTTACATCTCAACGACTGAATTATGAAGAAATTTTGAAAAAATGGTGGAATTCTCCTTTAGGTTTCCTAAGAGAGCAGAGTTTACACTTTGACAGTTTTTTTCCTTCTTCTTTGTGATTTTTACAATTATACCCCCCTACACTCCCCCCGAGTGTTGGAAGCTGATCTTGTTCAGGGAAAAAAAAAAAACAATCCGTGACATTTGAGGCGCTCCAGGGATTTTTTTCAGTGAGCATGCCCAGTGGCTGCATCTCCGCGCGCACAGGAAGCGCCCCGCGCGCGCACTCGCTTCATACTGCGAGCAGAGGCTGCTGCGCGTGAGCAAGCGGCGGCACAGTCGACTTACAGCGGGCTGTGAGGAGAACTGGCGCGACCCTTCTGTCCCAAATTCGACCGTTTTTAAGCGCTAAAACGCCTTTTTAACTTCACTCGACACCTTTCGAGAGTCCTGCTAAAAGTCTTCGACCCTCGACGGGTTCGTATTTTTACTTTTCTCCCCTTCCGAACCGAACCGTGAGAGAAGTTTGAAGTTAAAGGCTGGGCCTGAGGATCGAGGAGAACGACTTTGGCTGAAAAACAAAAATATCACTCTTCAGTGCTTCTGTCGAGAGCGAAAAAGCTGGTCTTTTTGCTGTGATAAATGCTTCTTACGAAGATGGACCTGTTGAACTACCAGTACTTGGACAAAATGAACAACAACATTGGCATTTTGTGCTACGACGGTAAGAAGTTTTTGTTTTTTCTACTGTTGTGGGTCGTAAATCTAAATTTTGCTACTAGCCTAACACGCTAGAAGTGACGAGGCTGGGATTTACTTTTTTATTCGCCGGATTTTCATTCCAATTTTTCGAATTTCCCGTTCCACCTTAAACGGTGCAGCAGTTACGTTCTGGCTCCTGAGGCGCCAGAATGTAACCGCTGCACCATTTAAGGTGGAACGGAAAATTCGAATGAGAAGCCAACTCCAGCTTCGTGTGGACGTGTGTGGCGTACACTCTTTAAAAAAAAAGATGGTTCTTTAGTAAAGAGAATTGGTTGTATTTAGAACCATGAGTTCTGTATAGAAACATTTCATGTAATGTTTCTTTGCATAGTAATCATATCATATACAGCACAACGTAAGGTACCATTTCACCATGCTGGGAACCGTGGTTCCAAGTAGAACCGTTCCTTTTACTAACCCATGAAGACCCAGTTAGAGGCCGTTTCATTTTCTGAACTTTTTTTCCTCTCACTCCAAGACACTTTTGCTTAAATGTATGAAACGGCACGTTTAAGTATCAAAAATGTATAAAACAAGACATTTCGACAAATGTTTACATTTTTGCAGGGGTTCTCGTGGTTTATATGCTCTTAACTAACTCTGTCCTACAGCATGTGACCAGAGCTGCTTCACCTAATGGTGACTTTGAATGACATACTGTATGTTTTCAGTTCAGTTGTGCCACTGTTTACTTTAATCCAACTCACTGAACACGTGTTTGCATGTTTTCATACGGATTTTGCCCAGTCTGGGCCACAGGCAATCTCAGCAAAAGCTCTCATGCCAAAAATTATGACTTAATTCCTTCTCTCTCTGCGAGAGTTTGAGGAGAAAAAAATGCTCTTTTTGGATATGTGGGAATGGCTGGTATGGAAAGCGTAGGTTCTTATATGAAATATATGTCAGAGACTATGTATCTGCATGCCTGGGGGAGTTTAAGGGGGAGTTTCTGGGGGTTTCTTTTCTGCACCACTCCGTACCAGCCTCCTGTTGTCAGCCATCACTTGTCGAGAGAAGAAACGTGATCCAGGACCTTCTACACGGCCCAGGCCACATGGGCGTCACTCTGGCATGAAAAATGGAAAGCTTTTAGTCAACTCTGACTTTCTGAAAATGAACAGAGGACACCGGGTGGGTTAATTTATTGCTTAAAACTTTCTGGAACGCCACTAGTGATTCATTGGAAGTTTGGGGAGGCCATGGATGTTTTATGACTTGATCACATTTTCTACTTACTATACAGTCCTGAAATGGCGGAATGTACGTTGTTTTTAAGTTGAGTTGCAAAAATTTTGCATGCATGAATACAGCCAGTTGTGGATAGTTCATGCAGTCAGATGCACACCGTTGTCACAGAATTAATTACAGGGGTACACGTGGATTTTTTAAATTTTTTATGGTAAAATATCAGTGGTAGGTTTGAATTAACAGCTGAACACTGATTGCTATAATGCTGGAAAACGTAGGCTTTTATTGGCTTTTATTATGCATCTCACTTCCACCAAAACAATTATTTTATTTTTTAGTTTGTTTCTACATAATTAAGTTGTTAATATGTTAAGTCATGAAATCCATCATTCTAGAGAAACTTAGCAAGTCAGCATTGTTCACCTCTAAAACGTCCACCTCTAAAAGCTCCCTCACAGAAAGTTATTAGTAATATAAGCATTGCATGATGCCTGAGATTTTGGTACATGCAGAGTGTTATAAGCCAGATAGTCCCCAAAGAAAACCTTTTATTTGGATTATCTACTGTTCTATTGTTATGTTATAAACATATTATAAAAACTCACATGTTAGTTCACTGGTAGTTTTGCATAGTAAATAAAGGGCCTATATTTGTGTTGTAGTCATTGTGACCCCTGGTTCCTATCAGCACCACTGTAAAGAAATCCAATTCGGTCAGTTTCTCTACAGTGGATTATTTCCCACCAAACAACTGTGACTGACTGTTTACGTCTCAATGATTTAATTGTGCTGAAACTTTGAAAAAAATGTGGAAGTCCTCGTTAAGGTTCTGTCTGTGATTTAGCTGTAACAGCTTTTGAAAAGACAACATTGGAAACGTCAAACCCAAAATCTTTGGTGGCTGTTTTTGTGAAGACTGAATGGGCCATGTTTTTTTTAGACTGTATGTGCTGCCACCTGTTTTAGGTGATAATATAGCTGGTTAGACAGTTTTCACAATCAGGCCCTCATTGGCGATGAGATGTTGCACTTTCTCTGGTAATGTGTGAATAGTAGAATGGGCACCTGCTTTTGGAGATGTAGAGCAAGCAAACCAGATGAGCTTATTACGAATAGCAAGTTATTACTAAAGTATTACAAATACTGCTGGCCAAAATTGGTTAGTTTATTACATCATAGAAATTACTGTACAAAAGTCTTGGGTGGCTAAGTATTTTTTTAGAACCATTTATGTGAAAATCATGTGTGTATGCTTGTAAAGTCACCAAATAACAGAAGAAGAAGAAATATAAAAAACATAAATGCAGTAAAATACAACAAGAATTTCCTGCAGTGGATCTTGTCCTTGATTTTATCATAATACTGGGCTGCCATGAGGACGGTTTGGAGATGGTTAAACAAAATTTCAAGTAAATCAAATCAGTATTTATAGTGTTTAATGTTATTTGTATTTATTAGTGTTTTTTTCTGAGCAAATGAAATACTGCCCAGACAAACAACTTTCTAATAGAATTTTCTCCTGTAATTACAACTTTTGCACAGTGCTGCATGTGGAGTTGTTCTGAGTACGACCAGGTCATTTGTAACCAGTAAAGATGCAGCAAGATGGGAATTGTGGGCCGATGTTTTTCATGTACATATTTGTTGATGCTGATGCTGATATACATAATTAAAACTTGGACTCGGTCCACTTGGATTTACAGACAAATGTTTATTTGTTCAAAGTTACAAATGCAGTGAAATGAGTAAAATGAAGTTTTAAAATAGCATGTTTAGCCTGTTGTAGCATCATCGTTAAAAACATTCTGCTTTTCAGAAAATAAGTAATATATCATTAGGATATATCATGAGTCGAAGTATGCCGAAGTATGATACTGGCCTTAATTACATAATCACCTTTTGATCACTTGTATTAAACACTAAGTGAATTTTGGCCTTAAGTTTTCCCTTTTCTTTAAGTAAACAGCATAAAATAAAAGGTAATGTGGGGTGGGGGGTGGTGGAAGGGGTCCAAATTTAGTATTTAAGACCCTAAGTATAAGTTTCAACCTTTTAATTGTTTTGACAGTTGCAAAGTTTAAATATAGAATTGTCTTTTTATCCCTTAAGGGTTTAACTTTAATACTTAAGATGTTTTAAGCAAGTGGCCACTGATCAGTAGTGTTTATGCAGACTTCAGGTCCTGTGTGATTGGCTTGTTTACTTCACAACTATGAATTAGATGCGTTTTTCATCCGTTGGTTTATAGCACAAATGCATTCATTGAGACACATCTATAGTGGGCGCCAGAGAGTAGTGTTTGTTTATTTTAGGTGCTTCTGTTTTGAATTTACAATTAACAGCTATAGGAGGTCGCCTTAATCAGCTTCTGCTTTAATTGTTGCACACAGTGAACAAAAAATAAAATAGTTAATCACAGCTATTTAAATGACAGTTAACCATCAGCTAAAATTTCATGATTTTGACTGGCCTAGATATGATTGTGATTCTCTCGTCCATTCGTAGTGACCACAGCCTCTTTGTTTTCTCTCATGACTCCTGCTTTACCGATTCCCCCTTCTTTGATCCAAATTAGCTCATGTCACAGTGATTGCAAAATGGTTCCTCTGGTCCTCCTCGGCCCGATGACTCACCCTTGTTTTCAGATAACTCTCCAAAGATAACCAGGCCGAATCGATGGAAAACCTCCAGCTAAAACATGTGGCGAGATGATTGACACGGCTTGGATAGCTTTGTGGGCCTCAGTTCTACAAGTCTGTTACTGCTGCTTGGCCCCTTTATTGTTCGGCCTTTTTGGAGTGGATGTGATGTAAAGCCGGTGTTGTTCTGGCTCTACTGGAATGCTCTCCTCTCGGGCAGCTGGAGCACGTGACCCAGTGACAGCGGATGGAAATACACTATCATGACCATTTTTTTGCTCGCTGTAGCACGGCAGGCTTTTCAGCTATTTTTAATGGCCTCCAGAATCGCCCGAGCACATGGCTAATCTATTACAGCGTCTGTGCACCGGAGAGTACTGCATCATCTCTTAAAATAGGCTTCCGTGCATACCATGTATTTCTGCACTCGTCTGCACTCTGAACCCGGAGTGGAAACACAAGTCGAAATCTCAGGAATCTGGAAGTCTGAAGGCAGTTTGGTTGCTCTCAATGTCTAGCATTGCTCGACGCTTTTTTTGTACCTGAACAGCTCTTCGGCATCCAGCAGCACTTTAGTCATGTGGTCCAAAACCTGCAGTAGTTGTTGCTAATCAAAGGTCACGTCTAACGTTTCTTATCTATGTGTTTATTGTTCTTTGCATTGACCTTGGCAGATGAATCTTTCGGCCCTGAAGTTTGATTTTCTTGAAACAGTTCAATAAGAACAAGATAAGGACGAAAAGTTACTATCAATACAGGTTCAAATGGAGTTACTTTCCAATTTACAGCTATTCTTATATTGTCATTAGCTTTATATAACCTGTAAAGTTGCTGTGGAATTCTGACTTGGTCACTTGGTCAGCAAACATCTGACACCAGCAATTTGCTTGTATTTTAGTGTGTACATTATATAGGCGATGTATATTATCTACATACAGTCCTATTTATGGAGAAAACGAGATGGCTGTAAAACTGGGGACGCACAGATATGGCATGTAGACTTATGCTGGTGTTTTTCATGTACATATCTGCTGATGCTGATACATAAACATTGATAAAATGCAGAAATTGAGACTACATTTATGTGGATTAGCTTTATGGAAAAATATAGCATTTGTCCATGATATTTATA